TGGGCGGAGCATGAAGGTATGGTCTATGGGCGGAGCATGAAGGTATGGTCTATGGGCGGAGCATGAAGGTATGGTCTATGGGCGGAGCATGAAGGTATGGTCTATGGGCAGAAGATAAACCCACATTTGGTGCAATATCACCTGAACCCCTTTTTCCAGATCACCAATCCTCCACTCTGGCGCCCTCTGCTGGTGACTCTCTAGCCTACCCCACTATTCCTAGACCCACCCCTGCGGAGCAATACCTCCAGCCTTTTCGGATAAAAGAAGCCAAACCGGATTAATTGATCCGGAGGAATAATTAAAACGGGTTTTGTTGGCTAGCGTAGGGATCGCTCGCTGCTTTTCTATTATCAGCACAAATCTATTTTCGGCGTCGATGTTCGGCAGTCTGACAGCCCCGCACACAAAGGCTCTCAGCACGACCAGCGTCTAGCAACACAATATAACGAGGTGCAAAGCAGACGACCGAACAAAAGGCGTCTATCTCCCGGAAAGGAACCCCCCCCCCCCCCCCCCCACTCGGTTTAAGCTCATTGCCGGAATTATGCCGGTTCCCCTATCAGGAGATAAACGGGCACAATAACCTCCGCTCCTCCAGACACCGCAGGGCACTCCGCCGTCCTCCGCCCACGCGATCGGTAAATTCGTCTTCGCGGCTCCAGCCGGCGGAAACTATAAAAAGGAATTTCTTAATCCCGAGCTATATTTAGCCGTTTGAGCAGGTTGCCAAAAGTATCAAACGCGTCCTGGATTCTGAAGGGGAATTAAAGATTAATGGCGGGCTCCCCGCCGAGAGCGTCGCACCGCAAGGAAAAACACACGCAGATCTCAGCCCAAAACATTCATTCCCACAATTCATTTCATGCAGATTTTTCTGTTTGAACTTCAAACGTTCGTCGTCGTTGTGTGAAACGCCACGAAAACGACGGCCCGGACCCGGACCGGACCGACCCGGACCCGACGATTATACCATTAGACGGAGGGAAACGTCTTCTCAGGAAGCTGCATGCGGTTTGATCCTAACGCGTTTCATTTACAGTGTACCTCTCGCACATCAGAGTGCTGGCAGCCATCTTTGGTATTAAACAAGATTCAGTGATGTCACCGGTCTCTACTGATTGGATAGGCTGCATTCTCAGTGATGTCACCGCTCTCTACTGATTGGATAGGCTGCACTCTCAGTGATGTCACCGGTCTCTAGTGAATGGATAGGCTGCATTCTCAGTGATGTCACCGGTCTCTGGTGAATGGATAGGCTGCGTTCTCAGTGATGTCACCGGTCTCTAGTGAAGGGATAGGCTGCATTCTCAGTGATGTCACCGGTCTCTAGTGAAGGGGTAGGCTGCATTCTCAGTGATGTCACCGGTCTCTAGT